CAATAAGAATCAGACAAGAGAACCAGATTCAAGTTCGTTATCAAAGAATCTCCAATGATCGTATTTACATATAGCACATAATGTAGTGGTCTAGGTTGAATACCCAAGTGATAAGCAAAATATTACGAATCAAATCGTAGATAGGACCCATGGTCAAATAAATATTTACATTCTTTCATAAACATGCATAATACCTTCGATCACTAATTCAGAAGTTTTAGAATCATATTCAGTGATAGCATACACTTTGACATGGGCTGATGGTTTATGAAGCAGTGACTCTTTCTTCTTGTTCAAAGGGTAATCTTTTATTTTATGATCCAACTTTCTACAAGCAAAATAGACTTCAATCACCCGAAAATACAAATTTGTTTCATAATTTAACTTGTAATTCACACATGATTGAGTCTTTGGTGGTGACTTCCCATTTCAAATCAAAATGTCTTGACCCTCTTGTTATTACTTTCTGATTCATTTCCAATCATATTTTTATTGGTAAATTTGTCTTTATCATTCTTGCCACTCTCCAAAAATTCTTTTCATTATTGTCATTAATGATCAGCCTCTACTTCCAATATAAGGTGGCAAAAGAAATCGTTTGATCATCGGGATAATTTTGAACATCAAATATCTTCTCTATTCGCATCATCCATTTTTCTGCCACTAATGGATTAGATGCACCATGCTTCTGCTGCGCCACTCTGAATTTGTGTTTCACCTTCATTGGTCTCCTAATTAAAATTTGCCTTTTTATCAAACACAACAATTCTATTAATAATAACTTTGTCATTAACAGAATTATATAATCGATAGGGAATAACCAATTAAGATATATTTTTTAGATTTTCCATCAAGCTTGTGATGGTTTTATGAATTTACCAAAGCATAAGCAATACCACAAAAAAAAATTTTAAACAGCTTACCCGTAGCTTTATACTATACCAAACCTCAAAATGAATTTGCTTCATAATAGCTTTTGTTGGTGAAATATTCAATAAATAAACTACTGTTATAATATAATTGTTTCTAAGATGTTTTCCTTTAAGCAAACTTCTTGTCATTTCAATGACAGTTCGATTCTTACATTTAGCTATACTATTTTACTCCGATGTATGTGGTATTGTCAATTCTCTACAAATATCATTTTCTTCATAAAAAGAATTAAACTCATTAGATAAAAATTTACCATATCTATCCAAAGTGTCTTTATGCATCTACCATTTTGCCTTTCTATAAGTGCCTTGAATTTTTAAAAATTATCAAATATTTTATTTTTTAATTTTAGAAAATATACCCAACTCATACGACTATAATCATTAGTAAACAATAGAAAATATTAATTTTTACTAAATAATTTTATATTCATAGGTCCACATAAGTCACCATAAATTAATTTAAAATGATTAGATGATATTCATGTTTTTCCAACAGGAAATGGTTTCTTACTTTATTTTTCATAAATGCATCATTCACATACTTCAAGTGTATTCTTTTAAGTTGTAAGAAGAGTATGCTTTTCAATATCTGAAACATTAAGTGAAAACATTTTTTTTTTACGTCATGCAAACATTTACTATAATCAAACTAGATTGTTTTATATTTAATAGTGCATAAACCATCATCAATTATAACTGAATATCCATCATCTATCAATTGTACAATACTCAATAAGTTATATGATAAACTAGAAACAAAGAAAATATTATCAAAGTGTTTTACCTTCTCTTAACTTGTCTTCACCTCAATTGTTCATTCCTTTTCCACTTGGATTTGCTTATTATCTTCAAGTATAACTTTTAACTCGTAAGTTTCATCAATATCTCTAAACATTGATCTTATATCTGACATATGATTAGAATACCTACTATCCAAAAACCAAATGTCATTTGAGAAATTATTAACTTATGAATAAATTATAAACAACTTACTATTTTTTTTATTTTCCTCCACATAGCTTGCATGCTTTTATTTTTTTAGTAATCTATCTTCATGTGACTAAACTTTTTATAATAATAATATTAAATTTCATACTTATATTTTTTCCTTTTTTTTATCCATTATGCCTATCAAAGTGTCATCTTCCTCTTCCATTTCCTCTATCACAAAATCCTCCTCTCCCATATCCTCTTCCTATTGATTTTTTATCTTCTTTTAAAATAAAAAAAAATTTCTTTAACCTAAAATACTTTTTTTCATTTTTCTCAAGTGTCCTATTCAACCTTATTTCATGTGTTTGCAAAGAACCTATCATTTCATAAAATGAAAAAGTTGATAAATCTTTTAACTCCTCAATTATGATAATAACATAATCAAATTTTAGAGTTAAATATCTCAAAATTTTTATAATAATTATATGATCATGAAGATGTTTACCATTAGATTTTATTTAACTAACAATTTAGTCATTCAAGAAAAAAAATCTTGTACCGACTCATTACTTTTCATGAATAAAATTTCAAACTCACGATGAAGGATTTGAAGTTTTACTATAAACACCCTCGAGGAGCCTTGAAATTTATTTTGAAATATCAACCAAGCTTGCTTTAATATTATCGCTGCTGTAATTTTTGAGAAGATTATGTCAGGTACAACTTATTGAATGAAGAACAATGCCTTTAAATCCTATTTTTTATTCTCCCTCAGTCTAATTTTTTTATTTGGATTTAGATTTCTATTCTCTATTAAGTCCTAAAGATCTTGAGACTTAAATAGAGTCTTCATCTTGATACTCTAAAATTCATAATATTTGCTCGAGAAGATGAGAATAATGGGTTGATACATGGAATTACCATTGAAAGTTATAATCCTAGTTTATATTAAAATTTAGTTTTGATACCATAAATATTAGGGATGGAAGCGTAAGGAAACAGTAAAAACATAATACTACTATGTAATTAAAAGAAAATACTTTTAAGAAAATTGATATAGTATTAAATAAAATGTAAGATATAGAATACTTACATGATATTCCCAAATACATATTACATTACTTCATATCACCCATTGAGTTAGGTATAAAAACTATCCCATAACTTAGAACATGTATATAACCACTTAGAATATGATAATTACTTAAATAACTATCATTAATTAATTGTCAAAAGTTTACTACTGCTATAACAAATGTCTACGACAAATCTGCCCACGGATCTGATCTTTTATTTATCGCAACAAGCACAAGATCTCAGCTTCAGTTTCTTACTGTATGATACTTGTGATAAAAACCAAGGAGGCAATGAATGAGAAGCTTGTCAAATGCAGCTTGTCCACATAGATATAGATTTAATCATCTAAAAAAAAGAAATGTGTATATTCCACACGTAGAAGCAAGCCAGAACGTACAGATACGAGAGATACTGATATATGTGTGTATGGTTGCCATCTCTTTCTGATAGATAATCATGAAGAGACACTGTTGGCTGCAGCAATAGCAAAAGAGAATTGCATTTCTCTAAGATTCAGGGAAAGAAAAAACTACCCGCCACTTGGGTATATCAGACTCAGCTGGTGATGGTAATCACCGCATGGAAATGAACCTCTTATGAGACATTTTCGTGAAGTAAAAGTATGCTGAAAATATTCAGAGTTAATGGAGGTTTATTTCATGTTTGTTTCAATATGTAAAATTCAGATGTTTTGAATCTATATACTTTAGAATATGTCAAAACTTATAAAACTATATCGGAGACATGATCGAGAAAACTTCTCTGAAATATAAGTTAGCTCTCATTTTAACAATGCCGATTGAATATCGAGTCTCTAAGAGCCAAATGTACTAGAGAATAAGGTTCCCTAAAAATATACCCGAGGAATATTTTTATAGTATAACTTAAACTATTACACTCAAGATCGTGTTTTTGATGACAAAATTAATTACATTAGTGTTGGGTGCATTTGTGTCGTACCAATTTCGGAGAATAGGAAAATCACAAGTAAGGTTATAATGTTTGAAGTGTTGGCTCATGGCATTAGAAGTCGATTACGCGATGTCGAGGTATTGTTAAAATGAGATTATTTGATGTCGATCATACGGTGTTGATGTCGAGGTATTAACCACATAGGATTGAGGTACCGATGATCCTTTCTAATGTTATTATTCTTTTATAAATACAATTGTAGATTAGACATGAGATTTATGTAGAATTACTACTTAGACCTCAATAAATGCATTTATAGAATTCCTTTATAGATGCAATGTGTTGAATAAAAATGCTCTGTCTCATGCACAATACAACATCTTGACTCTTGCCAGCATTAGCTGATGTATAGGAAAGTAAATAATGTTCATGTGGAGATAAAATTAGTTGACCATAGAAGACATAAATTAGCCAGTCTTCCACAGTTAGATGTAGTACTTCAATTTTTAGGGTATCAGTTTAAGTGCTGCAGTTCTGTGCCATTGCAGAACTTAGCCTGAGCAAAATAGTAGCCATTCTGCATTCTGATACATCGGAGAAGGGAAAAGGCTCAACAAGCTTTGTGAGCTGGTCATGTACAATGCTAGAACATGAGAAGCAGGAACGGTCCGAGAGAAATGCAATGGCTGGTTTCACATGTGTTTCTTGGATTGCTGATATAGATCTAATAGATTATTACCGTGTTAGCTTGGGGAGTCCGCTTTCTGTCTCATGTTGACTGTAGCAATGTAATGGTTCATTACATTACAAGAACTTCTGACTTATGATCCAAGAAGCATAGCCATTAATTTAAGCTGGGGAAGTAGAAGAGTGGAGACCAAACAAGGAACCTCCCTTCCCCATGCTATGAGGCGACCTACGTAGAATCCCCATGGAGATGGAATAACCCAGCCTTTACAACAACTAGACCACAAGGAACAATGTACCGGTGATGTATTTCAAACCCAAAGTCTCCTTATCTTGTACAAGTATACATATCTATATATAGTCGACCTTGCACTGTTTTGTGTCCATCATCTTCGTCCGATCCATCGCACTGCAGGCGTTCGACCCCCAACACAGCACCTACGTAAACAGCCTCGCATGGATACAAGGCAGAGATCGACCCTCCCACAGCGCGTCTACGAGGACTTCGTTCCTCCGCATGAACTGCTTCGGGAGCAAGACGATGACACGCTCGTCGTTAATGTCGCAGGCACCTTCTTCTGCTATATATTTCGGTCGATAAACACATCAAATTCATCCATTTTTCTTGAGAATAAGAAGCTGTTTTGTTCTTCTTTCTTTCTCCACATAGGTTTCAGCAAGGACCAGCTCAAGGTCAAGATCAACAGACATGGGAAACTAGAAATGACCGGAGAGCGCCCGTTGACCGACACCAAGTGGAGCCGCTTCCACAAGGAATTCCAACTGCCCGACCGCGGCACCCTCGACCGCATCCGTGCCAAGTTCTACAACGGACTTCTCGAAATCACGCTGCCAAAGTCGTCCGGCATGGCCGCCGTGCAAGATGAGACGGCGGAGGCCGTGAAGCAACAGGATGTGAAGAAGAACCAAGAATCTGATGCACAGAAGGTGGAGGAAGATAAGAAGGATCAGCTCAAAGAGCCGAAAGGCACGGAGAAGGTGGCAGGCAAGGATGGAGATGAAGATGGTGAGGAAGGCACCGAAAGGATCGATGCAGGGAAGAAAGCAGCAGTCACACCAGCAAGCTATTGTGGTGGCAAACGCAAGCTAGTGAAGCTGAAGCTTAAAATAGGCAAGCTGAACTCGGGAACGTACCAAGCAAGGCAGGTCATACTAGCCTTGGTTTTGACTGTGGTGGTTTCGGTGGGACTGGGATTGTATCTGCACTGCAAACCGAGTCCCAAAGATAGCTGAGCGTTGTGTCTCCTCCTCATATCGAATGAATGCATCATGAGTTGTAATTTGTAATAACACTTGCTAAGAAGACGAAGATAAAAGTTGCAGTTGTTGCTTAAAATTGTATGTGACAATGTGTTTTTTGCCTTTATTGATATAAACCTGTGAACTGGTGATAAATTTTGTCACAGTAGCCTTTATCATTCGACAAACCTTTTTTTGATTGGACTGGTGATCTTTGGTAGAAGAACACCTCGTCTGAGATTGCTATTCTTCGCATGCATGTATGCATTAGAATTAGAGCCACTACTCCTCTCTCGGTGGAAGAACATAGTTCTACTTCATGACAAGGGGGCCACGCCACCATCGTCTGCAACAGATGGTTTTCACGGTGTCTGCAATCAAGTTTTTCTTTTTTGGCTTCAATCATTTATATCTGTCTCAGTTTCATTTGATCATGCAAATTATCTTTTCGTAGTTATCAATGCTGAATATTTAGAGGGAGTGTTTACGTATTTATTTTTGTAAAATTTTGAAACGATGCATATACCCTTGCAAATATTAACATCCCTACATACATTAAGATCTTCCAAATATATTGATATCGATAAATAAAAAAACAACAATTAACACTTTTACAACATAAGCATTTTTAGAGGATATTAATGTGCCAAAAGTTGATCAATTTATGAAGATTAATTATGAAGTCATATAAACATGTTTTTAGGTTCACAAGAGTACACATACTGGACTTCAAAAATTAACAAGAGATATATGAAAATAATTATCTTAATTTAAATCTTACAATTTCATTAATTTAAATCTTCATAAGATTCGGACAAATTTTATTAATTTAATTTTGTTAACCTTAATACATGTCACACCCGCCGCGGGTCGGTTACTGTGATTGGACCAACATAGTGGGCCCGTCAAGGGGGCCCGCGGGTGTGGGTGTACTGGTATGCCGGAGAGTGCCATCATAAAAACCCCCATTGGCTTCGACGTTTCCGCAGACCTGCTTTCAAGAAGTCATAGGTTCTTGATGTCTCCGGAGTCGTCTTCCTCGTCGTCGAAGAAGAAACGGAGGAATCTGGAGATGAGGGTTGTAGAGAATGCTAAACGAAGACGCGTCACCTTCGCCAAGAGGCGCCAAGGCCTCTTCTCCAAGGCGGAGGAACTCGGCGCCGTCTGCAGCTCCGACGTCGCCGTCGTCGCCTTTACCTCCTGCGGTAAGGCCTTCTCCTTTGGCGATGACGCCATCCGTCGCTACCTCCGCCTGGCGCGAGAACACGATGGCAATCAAGATGGCAGGGAGGAGTGTGGCTCGGTGAAGGCGACGGGGATGGAAGATCCCGTCCGAAGACTGAGATTTCTTGAGGAGCTCCGGCGTAAAGCAATTGCTCGCGCCGAGGACCTGGCGCAAGCGCGGGCTGAGGCTACCGCGGCCAGCAGCAGCAATGGGAG